CCCAAGGCCACCCCCAGGCCTTCCAGGCCCCTCAAACAGCCGAGATAAACCGGACAATTCTTTACCCATTGCATACAAGCAGATCTAGTTTTAGTGGTGGAAGTAATTCATATCCCATAACAGAATGTCTTCCTATGTGTTTTACCTCTGTTTGGCTGGAGAACAAATAGGCTGAGTAATGGAACCTTTTCAACTCTGCAAAACAGTTACAGCTGCTTAGCTAATAAACTTCATTTTAAAAAAAATCACAACCTTTTCCCTTTCGCTGAATAAATTTTTTAAAAATGCCACAAACAATTCCTTTGCAACTACGCTTATCTACAAAAGAATAATCACCTCTACCAAAACTTCTGCGCAGTCTGTAGTGAATTTTAAGTTAAAAGATAAAGTAATGCTTATTCTGTCTACATTACCAGATGAAAGTTACAAAAGAATGTCACTTAATTTGTAGAAATAATTTATGAAACTAATTATGAATTTATTTATTTAGGAAATGCAAACTACTACAGTGCAACAAGGTTACTAAAAACATTTTATTATCATTTCTCTCAGTTATTTCCAAATAAACACTTAAAAAAATTCATAAAGCCATTTCCAAGCTTTAATACTAGTTGACTCCTCTGTGATTATTTTCTTATGTTACAACAACTTTCTAAATTACATACTTCCTGAATGATTTGGCTTTCACAGTATAAAATGCAAAATCATCACAAATAGCTTCCATTCTATAATTTAGGGGAAAAAAAAAAGAAGCAAGTCACCACACCAAAAAGGTATGAACCATTTTTTGGCACCATGAAGTCAAAATTAATGGACCCAAAAGCCAGCTTATTTTCAATAATAGCTATATAACCCTTTATCTTCTTTCCAGGCACAAAGATTATCGAATCATACAACAGTTTGGGTTAAAGATCATTTTGTTTAAAACCATGCCACCAGGGGTAGGGATGCCACCTACTAGATTCAAAGTTCCATCCTAACTGGCCTTGAACACTTCCAGGGACAGGGCATACACACTGCCAGCTTCTACAGGCAACCTGCTCCAGTGCCTCGCTACTCTCACAGTGAACACTTTCGTCCTATAATCCAATCTAAACTTACCCTCTTTTATTTTGAAGCCATTATTCCTTTTCCTATCACTGTAAAAAGTCCCCCTCCAGATTTCTTTAGATTTCCCTCAAGAGCCTTCTCCAGATTCAGCAACCTCAATTCCCTCAGCCTTTCCTCAGAGAAGAGGTGTTCCACCCATGTAATAATCTTCATGGCCCCTCTGGACTTGTTCCAAAATATATTTTTTGTGCTGAGAAAGCTGGATACAGTACACTGCATGAGTGGAGCAGAAGAGGAAAATCACCTCCCTTGCCCTGCTGGCCACACCTCCTTTGATGCATTCCACGACACCTTTGGCTTTCTGGGCTGTACAGAATAATCCTTTAGCCACACCTGCACCACTTCAGGCAGCCACTGGACAAAATAAACTCCGGCCAGAATCAGAACCGCATCTTACCACAACATCATTTCAGGTAGTTGTACAGAGTAATGAAGAGGCCCAGGGGAGGCTTTATTGCAGGCTAAACAAATCCCAGCTTTCTCAGCTGCTCATCATAAACCCGACACTCCAAACCCTTCACCAGCTCCTTCGCCCTTCTCTGAACATGCTCCAGCAGCATCTCAGCGTCCTTCTTGCCAGAGGGGCCCAGAACTGGATACAGCACTCAAGGTATGGCCTCACTAACACCAAGCACAGGGGAAGAATCACTTCCCTGATCCTGCTGGACACAAAATTTGATACAAGCCAAGATGCCACTGGTCTTCCTCGCTGTCTGGGCACATTGCTGTCTCACGTCCAGCCACTGCTGATCAGCACTTCCATGTCCTTTATCACCTGGCAACTTTCCAGCCACTCTGCCCCAGCCTGTAGTACTGCAGGGTGTTGTTGTGGCCAAATGCAGGACCTGGCACTGGGTCTTGCTGTACCTTATATCATTGGTCTCAGCCCACTGATCCCTCTGCAGAGCCTTCTTAACTTCCAGCAGACCAACAATCCCACCTATCTTAAGTTTACAAACCTACTGAGAATGCACTTGATCCCCTCATCCAGACCATCAGTAAAGATGTTGAACAGGACTGGCCTCAAAACTGAACCCTGGGAGACACCATGGTGACTGGATGTCAGCTGGATGTGGCACCATCCAGCACCACTCTCTGGGCTCAGCTATCCAGTTTTTAATCTGGCAAAGGGAAGCCATGGCTGCCAGCTTTTCTAGGAGAATGCAATTGAAAAAAATTGAATATAATAAAAGAATAACAAAAATGTAAAATAGGAACATGAATAATGTCACGGTAAAATAATCAGTAACAGAACTGCTTCATAAGTAATTCTTCAGCTCCTGAAGATGACAGACTTGGTTTTTAAAGCTATGTATTAATTTAACAGCTAAATTCACCTTCTCAAAATAATCAAGTGTATACAACAAAGTTAATATGCAGGCATTTCATACATATCTATTATTAACAATAAAGAAAGTTGTTGCTTACATGGTAACAAATCAGTAAAGTGATAACAGCCATTCCTGCAACAACAACATAATCTTCCCACTGCCACCAGTCCCAAGAAGAAAATGTTAATATTCAGGTTTACAGAGAGCCAAAATTCTGCATAGCTTCTAACCCTCCCAGTCACTCTCAGCTTCAGAGTACTACTAAAACTAGTATGGTTTTCTTTTTAATTAGTTATACTAGACATCTTCTTCATCTACATTAAGCAACATCATAATAATCAACACTATATGTCATCATGTCATCTTTTGCTCCTCTCTGAAACCAGAGAAAGACAGCTTCTGACATGAGAGGTTTCACAGATTCATACTAGACACATTTATTTTGGTCATCTTCAGCACAACTACTATTATTTTCATTTAATGTCCAAAGGGTTTAAGAAATCAGTAAGCGCTTAGTACATTTTCATCAGTTCCATGCTATTCCATGATTGTGTAAGTCCCACTCACATTTACCCTAAGACATTCCTTACAGTCTGGAGGGTCCCAGCCAACTTGGCTGCTTCTGACACAGTTACTAATCACGCTTGTGGCCCTTCTCTGAACAGTCCTCTGAACCTTTTCAAAGTCTATCTCCTTTTTGAGAGGAGAGATTGGAACTTCACACAAAATTGAAGCTGTGCACAAATCATTAAGCCCATAATGATTTTGTTTTGCTTCCTTTTCTTTGCCAAGTATTTCTGACTGTCACCAGAATCCATGGTTTCATGCAACAATAATCCTGTTGACTACAAGGGTCATTTCCATGCCCACCATCAAACACGTGAAGCTAAAGCTTCAGAAAATTTTAGCATCACAGATTATTCTTATCCAGCCTTTACCCAGATAAATACTAATCCATGACCAAAGATTCCTGCTGTTGTATGATGAACAATAAACAGAATAATTAAAACCCCCAAAACTATTAGGTGTATATTTTCTTATATCCATATAATACAGGCCAAATCTATTACTATTAATAGAATTTATTTTTCTTCTAAGGAAGGGGTTTACCTTCATTTTTCCACTATATTTTGGATCTGAAATAGTTTCAAAGGCTGCATCTTTGCTTAACTGCACAAAATCTGGAAAACTGGAAAATACCTGGCTGCAAACTCGTTTGATATGCGCTTCCTGGAAGAAAAGCAGAAAGATTGAACAGATGTTAAAAATCAGAGCTATGTTAAGCCATGCAAAGAGTTAAACAGGTTGAAACATGATCTGCCAAAGTATCTCAAGCAGACTGATGTAGTTTTTTATTTAGTTCGCTACAAAACTGCTGGATAAAACATTCCCTGTGTGTTTTGCTTTGTTTCATTAAAAAAAAAAAAAGAGATTCCTAATCTGAAATCATAGATTGTATTCAGAATGTCTTCTCCTGGCCAGAATCGTCAGTTTCAAAAATCCTCTTGCCTTGACATTTGCACTACCCAAGGGTTTTGCACCAACATTTCTCTTGACTCTTTCAGGCAAATTACATATTGTTCCACAACAAAAACTGTACAGGAAATGGACTTAAGGTGTTTTAAAGCCACATAAAGCTCCCTTGCTAAATTTAGCTCTGAACTTAAACACAATCTCACACTTTAAGTCCACTTTTACAGAGAGAAAGAAAAGATTACATCTCTCATCTAAGAATAATACACGTAAGGGCCTTCAATACTCAAGGTAAGTGCAGTATCCGTGGTAAGAAAAACTACTAAGTATTAGTTTCTTAGTAGATGTTGGTAAAATTAACAATTATGCATGATGCAGAAGACTGTAAGTCACAAAATACTTGCATTCCATTATTTCAGAGGTTATTTAAATATCAGATGTTATTACAACAAAAACTACATATGCAATACACAAAAAAGCCCACTAAAAACACCTGGCTATATGCTGTGTGTAGTATGCTGGACACTAAAAGTAACATTTATAAAAAAGCAAAACTGCTTTAATGGAACAAACTCACAAAATTAACTAGGACATTCCAATACCTCTTCCTTGATAGATTCTAAGAAAAAGTGGTAATGCCCCTAAATCCCTTTCCTCATTCCTGGATCTTAAGGCTCACAAACAAGCATTTCTGAAACTGCTGTTTGTGGGTCTGGTTGCTTGCCATAGTAACAAGATAAGTTGATACTGATCTTTCATTGAGCAATTTTTTCTAAAACATGTTTCTCATTATTTAAACAAACTCAGCTCTTAACATAAAATACTAGAGAAAAAACCCATTCTAATTATCTATTATTTGTTTATTTGCGCAAAGACATTCCTCTTACAGGCATTCCATAAATGTAACAAAAATTTATGTTTTTGTTACATTTATGAAACCCTATTAGAAATCATGAAAAATTACTCTCTCTCCTAACTTCTTCGATGTTTTATAACCCTTACTTTCAGATATGAATCAACTAAATGAACATGTTGTTTTGTATAACATGTTTATAAGGTATGCATTCTGTATGACTAAATGGAAAAATAATCTTACAAAATATCTTAATTGCAGTTAGTTAAGGCTTATAAGGAGGCCAGCAGCAATTTTCATTCAAGAGTTTTCATCCCATTTATCTTCCAAAAGTCCATTTTTTAGATACTTCTGAAACTAACCTGCAGTTTGCTAGTGCTGTCTGTCTGCAGCAGTGCAGCATGGTTTGCAACCTTCTGTAAGATCATTAGGTAACTGAAGCGTAATGACTTAATAGTTTCACCATGTGCATTTACCTACAAAAAAAAAAACAGTTTATGCAAACAAATATTACTGAAAATAAGTAATAATCTCAAATAAATGCTATTCTTACCAGGTTTAATGCATTAACAATACTATAACTGATCCCCAAGAGATGAATACTGTATTTCTGCTAAAAATGAACCAAGTTCTGTTTTTTCTTCAGCTTTGTCACCCTATTAATAGAAACATCTTAGTAACTTCTACAGACATCCCACGGAGATAACCAAGAATTCTTTAGTAAACAAGAAGATGGTAACTTTGTAACTAATTAAATCAAGCAAGACCAGTTTGAATGACTTCTTACCTTTCAGCTGCTGAATGACTTCTTACCTTTCAGCTGCTAACTTTATTTTCCTTTCCAGCAAAAGCTTTACAAGCATCTCAAATATCAAAATTCAAGCTTCAGATATTCTACAGTGCAACAGCAACTGTGCAACAGCATCAGCTATCTTCCTAGTTATGGCTGGCTGGCTTGATCAATATTTGTTTTCCTTTCCCAAGTTACTAAATTTGACAGTTAACTTTGGAATAGAACAGTCCATACGAGCACTCAACTATCTGCAGGCCTGCCTACTGCCCTTTTGTGAATCAAGTCCACCAGCATTCCTTTTTTTCTACAAAACACCACTAGAAACAAAAGCCTTCAAAGAGGGCTAATATCCATGGAATATTAAAAAAACTGATGAGGGGATTGCTCATAAATAAAGATGTAGGAGACTGAAGAAGCTACATCATTTGGAAAAAAACTGAAAACACTACACAAGAATCAGAGCAGGCCAGAGAGATAAAAGGGAGAAACAAGCATATGACACATGCTTCTAAATGTTTAAAAAATGTGCTTAATCTGAGCCTACTAAGTGAGGTAAGCAAAACAAATACAAAGCTAGACTGATCAAGGTTTAAAGAAGTCTGGAGAAGTTTAAAGAAATCTGCAAAGCTGTTACTCATGGACGAAATTTGACTAGTGCTCTTCGCTGTTAAGATTTCTCCCCTAATGAAGCAAGGGAAAGTGAATGTTTAATGGCACAGAAAGGCATGACTGCAGTTAGAACACAACTAACTACCCAGGCAGCCTGCTGAGCTCATAGTGCCTCCCATTCGCAGGTCCTGCACAAACTGCCTGAGGCACCTGGAAGCAACATACCTGACACATACTGAACATCTCAATGCAGTGCTCTTGCCAGTATCAACTAAATCACAGGTGCATCTATTGATACAAAAGATCCAGAATTTACTGCATAGGGAACAATCACCTGCTCAGGGCGTGCAAAGCAGCTTTGCAGTAACCTCAGAGTGCTTAACTCTATCATGCTGGTGATGCAGCTCCCCATGTTTCCAGCTGGGATGTCCCAAACAGATGAGCTACAACTAGGCAAGTATTTCAATCAGCTCTTCATCAGCAGAGAGTCTCTTGAGAAATTCAGAAGACTATGGGCTAAAATCCAAACAGTGCCAAGTTCTTACTTTGTAACAACAGTTCTTCCTCTTACAGCCACTGTTGCAGCTACAGGGCTCTCCTGCTCTTAACACCAAGGTTACATCATCTGTCTCTAGCACAGCTTGGTACACAGCCCTCTGGAATTCAGTGAGGGAACAAAACACCATCTGCCAAAGACGAAACACAAGAAACAATATCATGTGCATCATACAATGAAAGGAAAAAACCACTGCATCATAAAAAACAAATCACAGATCACTGAAAATAAAGTAAAAATAAATTTTACACTTGCTCAAATAGTTAGACAGGAAATTATTCTATCACCAAATGAAAAAAAAAGTGGATCTTTACATCAAAATAGCATGAAACTGTAGCAAAAATGTATGCACACTTATTTTATTCCACCCCAAAATTCTACAAAGAATATCAATACCATTCTACAAGAACCTGCTGTTATTTTGCTCAAAACCTTTAAACATGGCTTTTGTGAAGGAATAGGACGAGGAAGGAACAGTGAGAGAAGTAAATGCATAATGTTAATTAGAGATTTCTCTCTGTTTTGCAAGGTGTTTAATTTGCCCTTTCTTTCCCCTTTTTAGGCATTAGCTGTTGTAGGGCACTACCGAAAGCCACAAGCGGGACAAACAGAATAAACAATGAGAAGGCATGGATCTACAAAGTGCTATGGCGAAAACTGATCCCTCTTCTGAAAGACCATGGGTGGCATCTCCATGACATCTTTAGTCTTAAGCAGCAGGAGACAGAAATCCCAAGATCATTCCTTAACCTACGCTATCCACATAGCAGCAGCACCATGCTGAGCTACAATAATACAGCAGTAACTTGAACATATACTCACATTAACAAGATAATGAAAAGAATAAAACCTGCTAGATTCAGAAAGGAGACTGACTGATGTTTGTGTTAATCTTTCCTTCAGAAGACTGCCTAGATGACATTATTATAAACTAAGGATGAAGAAAAACCACCAAATTTTGAAAATAAAACCGGATGTAAACTTACATATTTGTCAACTCAGAAGAAAATATTTAGCAGAACTCTTATCTATATCAATAAAGTATTATCATTTCATGTAATATTTACAATTGCATCAGATGAACAGGATTACAGGCCTATCACAGAATCATTTTGTCTGAGATTTTTCTTTTATTTCAGGATTGAAAATGAAGGAGTTAAAAGCATACTGTTCCATATACAAAGTTTCAAGATGCAAATTCAGAAGTTCTGCATAGAATTTCAAGACATACATTTACATACATTGCTTTGGGCTTGCAGAGATAAGGACAAAAACATACATAAAACAGATGTGTAAATCACTAGACAGAAGACTGGCTGAGCATTTTCACGCTTGATTAACTCCATTTCAATGTGCAATCATAGTAATTATGTGAACAAAGCACACTACTTCAAGTGCACTTTTTCCAAGGCTATGGAGTCTTCCCAAGTTAAAAAGATGAAGAGAGAACCATAAACTACAGACATGATCAAGAGAGAAAATACAACAAGAAAACTAAAGAAGAGATACATTCATTAGCATTGTATTCAAAATGTGCAGGCAGTCTTACTCTGTCTTCCTTTTTTGGCAACTGATCACTGATAAGCGCTTTGGTACGTCTCAGAAACCAGCCAGACATTATTCTTGCTAGCTTCACCATGGCCTTACGACCTGTTGCTAGCTCTCTTTTAGTTGCAGTGTGCCTCTGGCCATGCTCCACTGGATCAGAAAATTTCTTCTTGAAATGCACTCTGCTACCTAAAAGTCCTGGTACAGCCCTATTAAAAAACAAAAGGGGATGGGGGATTGATTCACTGATTTAAAGCATACCATAAACTTTTTTTTTTCCTGACTAACAGCAAGCTATCTTAAAGTAGCAGTCACTAGAGAAACCACTAAAAATTTTAAGTACAAATAGAAACAGATACTATTTTAAGACATGCCACTTTTCCTTTGTTTTCTGTGATTCTCAAATGCTAAGACACGCCCCTCAGGAAAAGGGTTCCAATCTCAAGAAAAGAAAAAGTTTAAAAAGAAATCACAATTATATAGAAGCTCTAAACTACAAGGCTGCTAGTGTTGAGGAGCCTAAACTGGAAGCTAAACAGTAATGTTTTCAATATTTGCTGGTTTTATGAAATCAGAATATACAGATATTACAATTAACTGAATAAAATCTTGAGAAATCCAATGGTAGAAAGAATTTAGTAACTGTTGGCAGCATTACACATTGGAACAATTCACTAAGCTTAGAATATTCTTCCTGCTATTTCTGTTCTGTATATCCTTATATTTAAAATATATTTGCTTTGTTTCTCCTCTGCAAAGCATTCCCAGAAGATTTAAATTTGTATCTATGGTGAGTTGCACCTCTCCTTGACCATTAAAAGTTTTTCTGGACAAGACTGTTACTTTTCAAATATGTGTACTCGTGCATTTTGGAAAAAAAAAAAAAAAAAGCAAAATATTATTATTTTCATCCTTCAAGTAGGTCAGACTGACCTGCACATACTGGACAGAGCAAAGGCACTATGTTGATCAAGGTTGTGTAATGATTTCCTACCTACTGGGCGAAGAACAGAAGAAAAAAAAAGTGTCCCTAGGGAAAAAAAAAAAAAAAAAAAGGAAGAAACAAAAAAGGGTAATATGGGAGGTGGAGGAAGAATAATTCTAACTACTTCCCAAATTCCCCAAAGAAGCCAGCTGGGATGAACTCCAAATGTATGAAACAACTGTTATATACCAGGAGCTTACGTCCCCAGTAAGTCATATTCTCAAAAAAAAGCAGGTGTTTTGAGGTTGAGGGCTGTATTTTGTTGTTGTTTTTTCATAACACAGATGGGTCCATACCATCCAGTCCTGCCCCAGCCCCACTGCACAGCCAACACACAGAGATGTTTAAACCTAAAAGAAAATATTTACCAGTCCATAACACACCAAAGTTCCTTCATATTGTTTTGAAGAATGGTTCCAGTAAGACCTATGCGAACATGGCATTTTAATGACTTCATGGTTTGAGTTATTTGAGCCTTTGGATTCTTGATTCTGTGTGCTTCGTCCACTATCACAGCAGACCACTCTATACTGCAGATCAAAAAAAGATTTCATTAATTGACACTACTTGTCCCATCATTCCACATACATACAAAAAGTGAAGCCAGCCACACAAACAGCTGTGATTATAACACATTATTACTTTTTGATTTCTCTGTTTTGCTACATAATATCACTCCATTTCCTTATATTGTTTGTTTAGTAAATTAAATTAACATAGTTGAACATAATGGCTAAACTACATCATCAAATAAATAACCTCCTGTTTCCTGTATCAAATGCTTTCTGTGAACAAAGAAGCTTTCAATCTGTGGACCAATAATCCAGTATATCTCACTAAAATTAACTCCACTCATAATTAGGATTTACAAAAAATAAGTAAGTCTCTGTAGGTAAACTACTGAAATATACTTAACATAGGTATACTTCATTTTACCAGCAAAAATTATCCAAATCAAATACCAGTGAACTGAAAACATTTCAATCTGCATGGTTTCCTACAGTAAAGTATCACTCAAGAAAACATATACAATGCCAATATAGCAGAGGAATTTTAATATTTTGGGATTGTGATGACAAGGAACTTAGCTATAAGCAGTAACCAAAAGATATTTTGCAGCCAATTCAAGAATAAAACTTAGGGGTAGAATGACCTGTATACTGAGATAATAATAAAGAAAGACTTCAAGTCCTTAGGAAGAGATTTACTAACTTTATTAATTAAATTTATATATATGAATATTTCAGAACACAACCATATCCAGATTGATATGCTGTAAAAAGCTGAAGCAGACATGTTTAGAGATGTTTAGTAGAAAACATCTCCTGAGCAAGCTGCATTTAGCTCACTAATGAAGGCTGATCTTGTGGCATTTTTGCTAATCACTAAATACATTCATTCATGTTCAAGTTCCTACATTCCCAAAATATGCTAAAAATTGGAGTTTCTGAAAAGCCTAACAGAGCTTCATATCCTAGCTCCTTCCACTTAAATCTCTCATACTGATTTACATGCATAACTGAGCATATATATCCTTATTCCTGACAGCTAATTACTTAAGAGCAGCTTTTGAGGCCAATCCATCACTGTATTGAAGCAAGACACAAAGCTTCTCCTGGTGTCGAGATCACAGGCCCATCCAGTCACATCCTGCGCAGAAACAGTTTGATAATCTGCATGTTGAAGAAACGTATTTGCAGTCACACATTATATCTTCTCCACACATGCACCTATTTCCTGATCACAGTCCATTCCATGATCAAGCATGAAGAGTTCTTCAGAAAGAACACAAATTGTTGATGACAAAACAACTTTATTCTTCTATCTGTACTTCTCTATTCTCTGTACTTCAGACCTGAGCACAGAAATGAAGGTCTGATTGTTTTGATGATGGATCTCCAGACAACTAAGGTACCCTCTGGGGCCTGGACCTTTCCCAACACCTGAAATGCCAAGATCTGCAGATCCACTTATATCAGCTGCTGAGGGCAAGGTGCTACCACCAGCCACTGACACAATTCATACCCTACTTTCAAGATGACATAGGGGAAAAGGACATTTAGGATTGGATAAGAAATGTGTGGGTTTAAATCTCAAAGCTTTTAGGGTTCAATAATCTCATCAAGCTGGTGAAAACAGCAAATAACAAGGAAAATACCTTTTTGAGCATTTGCTAAAAATTCCAGGTGATTGCTCTCCTTATAGTGACAGACAGAAATACTTTCTAAGTATCTTTTAGCAGTCATCAGGCAAGACTTGCCAGGCAGGCAAGTCCAGCATCTTTCAGAGAACATTTCGTAAGTGTGTTACCAGTAAAGACTGGTTTCATTCAAACACTTACTGCTACAAGTGTCCCATTACAAGGACAGTTGCATTGAGTCTGTCTGAGATGGAGTTGATTTTCCCACAGCAGCTCTCTCTGGTCTGTGGGTAGCTGGAAAGGTGTTGTTAACACACCAGTGCTTTGGCTGCTGCTGAGCAGTGCTGGCACAGCATCAGCGCTGTCTCTCAATAATCCCCCCATATCAGCAGACTGGGAATGGGTAAGATCCGGGGAGGGGACAAAACTTGGCCCACTGACCCAAACTGACCAAAGGGACAACTCATCCCATATGGCATCAGCTCAGATACAAAAGCTAGAAAGGGAGGAGGAATGGGGCATTTGTTATTTATGATGTTTACTTTTCAGGGCAACTGCTACATGTGCAGAAGCATCATTTCCCAGGAAGTGGCTCAACACTGCTAGCTCACGGGAAACAGAAAAAAACCTTTCTTCCCCTCTTTGTTTGTGCATGCGTAAACTTTTGCTTTAGTAAACCGCCTTATCTCAACTGAAGAGCTGGTTTTTATCTTAATTTCTCTTCCCTGTCCAGCTGGGAAGAGACTGATAGAGCGGCTTGGTGAGCACCTGCTGTCCAGTCAAGGTCAACCCACCAGAACTCTACAGGTTAAACTCAGAAGTACAGGATAAATTCAGTAGTACAGGGATTCTTCTCTGCCGCACAGTGAGTAAATGGATTTAACAGCAAGTATGTTGTACGAAAAAAAGTCCTTGAAAAGAACAATGCACGATTAGACAGTTAAAATTCAGTGTGTACAAAAACATATTAAAACTATTACCTGTTAAATTCATCCAAATATAGGCGAAGTATCTCATATGTTGTAAGAGCAACTTCAAATTTCCCTCGCTTGATGCGACTCAGGTCATCATCTTTTTTACTGCCATGTAAGACAGAGACTTTAAAGTATCCCCATGTGTCTAACTCATCCTTCCAGTTGTACAGCACTGAAAGAGGGGCCACTATGAGGAAAGTCTGAAAACAAATATATATTAGAGTATCACCAGAAAAAATACAACATCGCAATTTCTCAATAATGGAAGTCAAGACCTTAACTATTTTACTGCTTCGAGCAGTCTGACTGTTTAATTCTGCCATTTCAAAGGATGTAAGGAAAATATCTAAAGTTAATATAAATTCAAAAGTAATCAGTTTACACTGAGTAAGTATACAATGCATCATAAAAATACTGAAATACTGTCAGACTAAAATTAAATACTAAAAAACACAAATTATACGTTTAACAAATGCAGTAAGATATGAGACACTATCATTTTGTGTCATCATAGCATCTGTGTATATATATATTTGTAAAATGTTTTACAAATGGAGAAAATAAAAGGATGAAGAGGGTAAGGAGCTTCCACAAATCCTTAAGTCTAGTCATCATGTGACTTGAAAACAGATAGTGCTGAAAAGAGCTAAAAAAATTAGGACAGCTCATACAATTCACTTAGTATCACAGGATAATAAAATCAAAGAGGTAAGAAGTGACCTTGGGACATTTTCAGTCCAACTTTATAGTCAAAGCAGTGGCAACACTGACTTCAAACCCAAGCTTAGCCAACTGAGGTCTTCAAAATCCCATAAGGATGGATGGGGTCTACAACCTCTCTATGACCTCATTCAACATTAAATGTCCTCAAAGTGACATTCTTTCCTCACATACAATCAAGAGCCAGAATCATTCCTACTTCTTTGCACATGAAGTGCTATCCCTTTACCCCTTCCTCTCAGCCTGTATTTCCTGAGGAAATGTATCCATTACTCACAGAGCTAGTCACAAAACCCATTATGCCAGTCAAATTCTCTAACAGCAAAATAACAATGGAAAATAGAAATCACATGGTTTCAGTAATGGGTAAAATTAAAATGATCTTCAGATGTGTTTTATTCACATAGAACTTTTACATGTATCTTTTATTTGCTGTCACTGTATTTCATTACCTAGATTATCAGCCAGACTTACTTCCAACATTATGACAGCCAATCAAGAAAACACAAGACATCACAAGGCTATAAGCATTACACTTTCCAAAAATATGGATTTGTCTTAATTCAATACTCTGTTATTTAGACACACTTTTTTTAACTTTAAAAATATCATCACAAAACACTAATTTTCTACTCACTGGGTTTTTCAATGTACTCTAGCCACAAATCTAGCCCAGACACCTCCAAATGTTTTCCATTCGTGCAGGTGAACAGTAGTAATAGATTAGACAATAACAACTAGAGAGAGAGAGGGGCACTATGTCAGTCTGGAAAACGGAAGGCTTCTCTAACACTACTAGGACAGGCATGAAATCCTACTTCAGCAGCTGAATTTTAAAAATTAATGTACATAAACTCCTAGACCAAACAAACAAACAAAAAAACCAAACAAATCCAAGTATTGCCTTTCATCAAAATCCTTAAGTTAGTATCTCTAAAAGTTGTACCTTCTTGGGGTTACAATCTGAGCCCTTTTTCATTGTCCGCAGCAAAAACTCCGGCATATTATTTTCAATATCCTCATGTGTTCCCTTTTTGTGCAATACTGCAGCCAAAAATGAAATGACCTTGAGAAAGAAAACAATTCTCAGTAACAATGTATAATAAGAAATTGAATGAATTCCACAAAAAATAAACATTTAGGATAAAATCCTGGACGGGACTCTGGAAGGTGGTTTAGCGGGGGTGAAGATTTTTTTCTGGGGGGTGCAGCAGGGGGTGTTTGTTGGCTATAAATAAATCTGGTTTTAAAATGGGACCCCTCCCTCCTCTGGATTCCCAAGAACTCCTTGAACTAATGATAGGAGCAATTAATTGCTCTATCTCAGTCTTTTATTCTTTAAGTGGAAATGTCACAAAAATACACAAGAGACAGAGTATGAATGAGCCAGGAAAAAACAGAGATGAGGTTTGTCTTGCAATTCTCCTCCTTTTCAGGGTACTTGAATTTCAGATCAGAAAACAGAAGGAACAGATATCCTCTAACTATCCTCTCAACTTTATTTCTGCAAAAGGAAGAAGAGGCTTATCCTACAGGTTTGTTTTTTACTAATACACCTTTTTTTGTATGTTCCACTCTTTCAAATTCCTGTTCTTGACATCAAAACCATTTTCCTCCTTTTGTGTCATATTCTCCAATCTGCTTCAAACGAGTCAAGGTGATTATGAGAACACATAAATTACAATATACCACAGCAAGGACAAACATCCCAGCACAGGCTATTCCAAACTACTCCTATCATGTTCCAAAACAGGAAGAAGGTAGAGGAAGATCTGGCCAGAAAATGCAAATTAAAAATTCACTTGGGATAAACAGTATCCATGGACTAAGTAGCAGCAAGGACCAGGTGCATCATCAGAGAGGTGCCCTTCTTTTGAAATCTCAACAGGCCCCTTTTATTCAGAGCAGCCAGCTCCAGCCACTTCCTTTTTGCAGCTGCTACACAGCTGCTCATAGCAGGCTAGAGGTAAAGCTACCAACTGTTGATGTCCAAAAAAAGAACTTTCTCCCTCTAATGATGGGGAGAAAAGAGCTAGTCAGGAGAGCAGAGTGCAGAAAAAACACCTCTCTGAAAAGAGTAGTTGGATGGACAGAAGAGAGAAAAAATCCATCCTAGGTATGGCCACAGAGTAAAAGAAAGCTACGTAGAATAAAAGTAATACAAGCATTTTTATAAATAATATCTCACAAACTGAGGTTGAGATGATCTGCCAGTTTGCACATGTTGTTTAGCTAATGGGTTTTATTTTTAAATCCTTTGAGAATTAGAATCAAATTCAACTGAACAATAAATCTCCATCTTTTCTACATTCTCCATTCTTGGTAGAATTTACCCCACATATTTCTAAGAGTAACAAAGGCAGTGAAATAGCAACTCATTATCAAAAATCTTTGGCTCTTCTAGATAAAGCAATCTAAATGCCTAGTTTACTGTAATCACTAAGAAACAACATTATTCTATTGTTAGGTGAAGTTTAGGCCTTCACCTAAACTTCAGCTTGATAGGTATGAACCATATAGCCAGGACATTTAAAGCAAAAATCAGTTCAGAAATACAAACAACATTAAAATTCAAAAAAATAGAAAAGTTTATCTCGTGAACCATCCTATAATTCAGAAACACTAAGTTTCTGCCAACTGACAATCATAAGACAACTTTTTTCGAAGACTGTACCAGTTATTCAATGAAGTTTAAATTTATTTTTTCATATGTACAAACTTTTTTTAAACAAGCGAATTCTACCATTTTACTTCATATCCACTGAACTGACTTTCCCATGCTGAAATTTGAACACATTGAACACAAACACTGTGTTTAATAAAAAATACACAAGATCACAGAATCATAAAATGGTAAGGGTTGGAAGGAACTTTCAAGATCACTTAGTTCCAATCCCTGCCATGGGCAAGGATGCCATTCACTAGACTAGATTGCTCAGGCCCCCATCCAACCTGAACACAAAGGTTACTGGAAGGCCACAATGAGGTCCTCCAAGAACCTTCTCTTCTCCAGGCAGAACTGCCCCAAATCTCTCCACCTCTCTTCATAGGAGAGGTGCTCAATCCCTCAGAATGCCTCGTGGCTTCCTCTGGAGCTACTCTAACAGGCTCACATCCCTCCTGTGCTGGGGACCCCAGAGCTGGATGCAGTGCTCCAGGTGGGGTCTCAGCAGGGCAGAGCAGAGGGGAAGAACCACCTCTCTTGACCTCCTGGACATGCTGCTTTGGATGCATCCCTAGGCTGCAAGCACACATTGCTGGCTCGTATCCAGCTCTCCACCCACAAGAATCCCCCAGTTCCCCTTCTCAGGGCTGCTCTCTACAACTCCCAGTTTGTGTTCATGTCTGGGAGTGTCCTAGCCCAGGTGCAGCACCTTGCAGTTGGACTTACTGAACTTCATAAGGTTCTCATGGGCCCAATTCTCAAGTTTCTCCAGGTCCCTTTGGATGGCATCCCATCCTTCTGTTGTGCCAACTGCACTGCTCAGATTTGTGTCATTTGCAAACTTGCTGAGATTGCACTCGATCCCACTGTCTGTGTCATTGAGGTAAACATTGCAGAGCAGTGTTCTCAAAACAGAGCCTGAGGACACCACTCATCACCAGCCTCCACCTCAACACAGAGGCATTGACCACAGCTCCCTGGCTACAGCCAGCCAGCTCTTTATCCACTGAACTGTCCATCCATCAAATCCACCGATCTCCAGTTTGGAGTTAAGGATGTCATGTGCAACCGTATCAAAGAATCAGAGACATCTGTCCATCTTCCCACATTGACCATTATCATAACTTCACCATGTAAGGTCAGGCACAAGTTTGCCACTGCCTCAGATCAGTCTCCTCAACCTTTCTTTTCTGACCTCTGTACCTAAAGAATCCTTTCTTGTTATTCTTCCCACATGATACTCTTCACATAAAATATTCTTTGAAATCTCTACCTTTCTTCTGAAAACTTGACACAGATTAAAAGAAATAGCCATCAGATGTGAATTCCACACAGGAACACACTGTCACTGTGTTCCTATGTGGAATTGTGATAAATGTGCCTAGAGAATCAGCTCTGAGATTCAAAAATGGAAGATGCAATCACGACAAATAAATTTAGTTTTTGCCCCCAAAGCTTACTATTATCTTTCACATATACATATAGACAGATAAATATATAGACATGTCTTACTATATGAAATCAGATTATTTGCAGCTCTGAGCAGGAACAGTCTTCTGTAACTACTGAGCTCTTCAACTACCACGGACAAGAAACATGGCCCTTCTTAAAATGAAGCATCAGCTAACAGATGATACAAATCTTTATACAAATCCATGATACACCTCTAAATGCTCTATGCAGAGTTTTGACAGTTTAGTTTACCCACTCCTCTTGTTAAGTTTGCTACAGGACAACACTTTTGCTGTGCTGAAAGACATCTATCAACATTCTCCTAAATGGAAAGACAATAGGTACCACAACCAATACCTGTGAGTGAAGAAATGAGCTTGCACTGGACACATGGAGCAGCACAAAATAGAGTGGGACAAAAAGTATCTCCCACAGAACTCAAACCACTCACTTTAAATCAGACAGACTGTAGAGAATTTCCACACATAAAATCACCTTAATTATAGCAAAGCAAGTGAAGAGCAAGTGAAGAGCAAGTGAAGAGCAAGTGAAGAGCAAGTGAAGAGCAAGTGAAGAGCAAGTAAAGAGCAAGTAAAGAGCAAGTAAAGAGCAAGTAAAGAGCAAGTAAAGAGCAAGTAACTAAAAAATAAGTAATTTAGGTTGGATGCAAATTCCAGATTCAAAGCACAATGAAAAAAATCCAGCTACACTTTATCCTCTAATCAATCAAGCCACATTATTAAAAAAGTGATGGAAGCAGCACGGAATACCAAAGCACTATTTCCAGAGATGGGAATGAAAGTGTCAGTTCTTTTGCATTCCCAGAACAGTGAAACTGTTTGTTTCCAGGAAAAAAGGAAAAAGGTGTTTTAAAAGCAAGAGTCACATAAGGGTCTCAAGTTCTTTTAGTGTACTCCAGTGCAAATTGCTTTCATGACAGGCAGGTAGCAATCCTCAAAGTAAATTCAACACACTAACATTTTAACTACCATAATTACTCGTGCTTATACTAAAAGGAGTCACATCCCAGTTTTATGGCCTGTGAGGAGTGAGTCTTAAATCAGCAATGCACTCCTGGCTCTGAGCACTGTCCTGGTCATCATGTCCTGCCTCATCCATCTCAGCAACAGCAGAGGGAGGTTTAAATTTCATAAAAACAATGCTTTTTAAAAAAAGATTTACAGATCCCAGAAGATACTACCTCCTCCCTCAGTAACAAACAAAAAGAATACCTGTATTGTCTTTCCAAGGCCCATATCATCTCCAAGAATACACCCTCTTTTATTAGCATAGTGTCTATACAGAAACTGGGCTCCTTCCCTTTGATAATCACGCAGGTATCTGTTAATTGTATACGGGATAAAATCGCCATTGTCAGATAATTTAAAAGCAACTCCAGGAGATGGAAGATTTTGGTCAGGAAAATATGGCTTTTCCAGATCACCTTCATCAAATATTAAGCTTTTCCAGGGTCCTCTACTGTCTTTGACTTTACAAAGTTTTGTTATTAGTATTTTCCTTTCTTCAGACTCCAAGAATGATACAACAGCAAATGATTTTCCATTCTTGTCCTTTTCAAGAGAAGTTATTGTTCCTTCATGAAGTTTTCCATTTTCAAAACAAGGGGCAAGGCATTTCTCCCCAATACGCCAATGATCTATAAAAAAACCAAACACACATAGTGACAAACTGGCCTGATGTACAAAGTATTTAATTTCTTCACTATTAAAACAATGGATATCAATTTAGTTTACAAAATTCATACAACTCTCTACAAGCACTTTATTGAAGGTAGCACTAGAATCAAAAGAGCAATTACTTTTTACAGCTAGACATAAAATTACAGTTTGCTCTAACACCGCTATTTTAGAAATAACAGAATGTGTACAGAAAAAAAAGCAAAATCCAGGTTGCGATGCATTAAGTTAACACCGTGGCTTCACACAGGCAAACACACAAAGTGGAAAGACCTCACATCGCACTGGCAATGAAAAATAATACAAGATACCTCTACTAAGAAAAACAAGATCTTCACTCTTCACAGTAAAAAGATCTCACAAATAATGGCTCCACACAAAGTTTTCCAAATCTCAACTGATAGAAAAAGGGATGTTCTTTTGAGTTTGCAGAAACAATTTCTAATCTTCCCCTGCTCAGTCATACTAAAACAAAGGGATGATTTGATTCATTTCAGAACCTTTATGGTTTCTTATCTATTTGCTGGAGTGAGTTTTGATACTTACAAGAAAGTAATTATCAATTACCATGAGATGCACCTTATTTATAGGAAGGAGTGAGCCAGGGAGAATCTTCCACCAGAGTAAGTATTCATCATTCTATGACCAGTGGTGGTATATATCCCTGGACACATCAACCCAGACATTTTTCACAGGTAAGGAAAAAAGTTCTGAAGGCAAGAAACTCCACCTTAGACTATTTTAATGTCTCTGTGTAAAAACTGCAAGAAGACTCACCAAGTTCTGAGCACCTAGAAGCATACACTTACAGGATAATGTTCACAATGTATTAGTTAAATCAATGATAACCATTAGTCATTTACTAAATTCATTTAATTACATACACTTAGAGAAAACAAAAGCTTCCATATAGCCAAGCCCACTATTCTGCAGCCAGCATTAGCCCTAAGCTGATATGCAGGTAACAATAAAAATAGTACAAGCCTACAGAACACCCTTATTCCAAAATTCTTTGGCCTCTAAAATATTATTTTAGTTACAGAGATTTCATGGGCCACAGGTAGTTCATCTGGTTAGCAAATACCAGCAGACTCACTCTTTCAAGTAGCTCCACTCCCCTTTCAACACATGCAGATTCCTAGAATTTGGTGACTTCTGACTAAAAATATTGTGGGTCTGCTCTGGATACGTCACACTTTTTCCTGATATGAACTTCGATCCAAAGACCTAAATTGATGGCCCACCAGTTTTTACACTAACAAGATCATAAACCAAAGTCTCTCCCTTCAATTAACTATTTTGCAGATCTCTTTAATAATGGCCTCATCAACCCTTTTTGGAGTTCAGCCCCACACCTTGTGACCTGCTACATAAGCTGCTCCAAGACCCTCAGCCATTCCCTCAGATCTTCTCAAAGACTTGAAGCTCAAATGTAACTTTCTGAGGCAAAGGGTGAAGTACAGGCTGTGTATTCAACAAATCATACATAATTAATCCTTAAAGTTCATGGTATTTGTACACATCTCTCATCTCAATGTAAAAAAGATGTGTACATTAACTTCTTCCAGTAGCATCTAATTCTTTCTGCAATTTCATGAGAACAGGAACCAAAACTGAAAAACTGAAACCAGCTATGTTCAGCACACTGCTATATATGCAAATCAAAGTGCTACAGAGCACTTCTGTAGTTCCTTTTTTTTACAGCAGTGAAGGGACATGCAACACGTTCAGAAACTCTCAAGTTAAAGCCATTATTTAAGACGACAGAGTTTTTGTTTTTAACAAAGCTTTTATTTGAGGCTAAGGAGTTGCATATGGATCCTCACAACTACAGTTCAAGTGCAAAGTGGAATAAATTACACTGGGCAATAGTACTAGTGTTACTAAACTCCAAACTTAGTGAGAAGCAGGGAACAGAATGAGAAAAAGGCTGAGACATGAAATGGTATTAAGAACACCATTGCTGCAAAAGGCCAGAAAATAATGCTGTTAAAGTCAAAGCATGAACTGCTTAGTTTAACTAGCCTGATTCACCAAGTCCTTGGCTTCTGAATTAGAACCATAATTTATGTGGATCAGTTTTTAAAAATAAAGACAATTATCTCACACGGCTTCCTAGCATGGGTACAATACATTTGCCACCAATGATGAAAGCTGGTATTTCAGATGCTTACCTGTACTTGCGCCTTTTACTACAGGTGGAAAAAATGTGCCACTGTCAACTTTGACTGTACTAAATCATGGTGGTACAGGCCTCCTGTCACACACTAGTTCCTTTCAACCACTACTCCTCTATGAAACTATGTCGAATGCCTTCCAACTAGTGAGGGCTAACAACTTAATTTAAAATGCAAGGTTTCGTTTTCCTTTCGTTTAATTTTTTTTTGTTTTTACACTCTAATAAATGACTGTAAAAACAGAATTCGAAGATACTGTAGAGCAAGACACATGGAAGACGCTTACCTGGGACACCATCACCACACATTTTAACTTTTGGCCGTGCAAAGCCTGACGGGGGCCGCGGGCGGAGGCACCGGGGGCGGAGGGGCACGGGCGCGGTGAGGACCCACCGTCGCCCCTCCGCCGGGGGGGTCACGGCGGTGCAGGCGCCGAGGGAGCGGCCGGGGCGCCTCAGGCGCCGTGGCTGTCCCCGCTGCCCGCCCCGCGGCCGGCCCCGAGCGCCGCAGCCGCGCAGAGCCGAGCCCGCGGCCGGAGCCGCACGTCGGCCGCGCACCGCTCCGCCCCGCCCCGGCCCGCCTGGCGCCGGCAGCGCCGCGCGGGTATCGCGAGAAGTGCGTTACCATGGCGCTCGGTGCTCAGGGGCGCCGGCGGGAAATATCGCGAGATGTTTCGGCGGGGCGGTGCCTGGGCTCGCGCTGCCCCGTGGAGTTGTGTCCAGTTCTGTCCTCGTCGGGAGAGGGGAGGCTTGGAGCTCTTGGAGTGGATCCAGCACAGGGCTAGGAAGCTGATTAGGGGGTTTGGGAGGATTTCTTTTGTGAGGACAGGCTGAGGGAGCTGGGCCTGTTCAATGTTGAGAAGAGATGGCTGAGGGTACCATACCAATGTGTATAAATACCTGAAGGGAAGGTGTCAGAGGGTGGAACCGGGTTCTTCTCAGTGGTACCTAGCAATAGGACAAGAGGAAACGGGCACAAACTGATGCACAGAAGTTTCATCTTAACATGAGGAAGAACTTCTTTACTGTGAGCAGGTGACCATGGACTGGAACAGGTTGTCCAGAAAAGTTGTGGGGTCTCCTTCACTGGAGATATTCAAGAACTGACTGGACACAATCCTGTGGAATACGCTCAAGCATAACCCTGCTTGAACAGGGAAGTTAGACTAGATGATCCCCTGTGGTCCCATCTAAGTTTAACCATTCTGTGATTATGGGCAGCAGGGGTAAAGAGATCTAAAGTTATTCTCTGCAAAAAAAAAAATTAAAAATTGGAGAGGTGAGGAAGCAGGACAAGGAGTTGATGCAATGGAAGGCAGAGCTGGCACAGTGCAGAGCAGCCAGCTGAGTGGAGATGATGAGTGCTGAGAGCCAAGGATCTGATATTTGAGAAGAATCAAAATCAAGAAAGACCCGCTTGTTTACAGCCATTCCACCTCCATCCGTGAAAACCGCTCTGCTTTCAGGGGAGCTGAACTGGACACAGTTAGATTTTGCAGATTGTGAAGGCAGTGAGTAGCAATTACCCGGTTCTTTCTGGAAAAAAAATGGGTCCCACCAAGAAATCTATTCAGATTGACTCATATCTCAAGAGCAATGGAGTATTACATGAACAGTATGGCTTCCCAGATCCTTGCTATTATTTTGACAAAATGCCTCCACATGCATTTAATTGTGCTACACTAATTTCACTTCTGAAAGTTAAATGCTTATGTGTAAGGAGCATGTAAGATCTGTTCTTAAATCAGCTTTGATTTTTAATGCAGAAGACAAGGTATTTTGGATGATTTCTCCATTCCTTTTAATTATCTTTTAGTTTATATAATTTTGGTGAATTTTTAGAAGGGATTGAACATCAGCAGTAAAACACTTATATTCTTTCAGCACATCCACAAAATTTTGTACAATTAAGATGGATAATTAGACTACCTAATCAAAATTCTGCATCCTACAGTATTTTCAGAAGCAGGACAAGGCAGGAGATACAGGTCTCCATGCTGTTTCTGCTTGCAGCAAACATGCAAAAGGCTGCCTTGCCTTGTTTGCTCTAGGAGTAATATAGACTTGTGCAGCCTAGGGCACCATTAATTTGCTTCTTTGTCTGCTATTAGCCAGAATTTTGTTCCAAAAGAGGTTAATGAAAGATGGGTGATTGTTGCTCAGCCACTTAAACTAGACTAATAGGAAAATAGCAAGCATGAAAGCACTATGTTAGTGCTATGTTAGAAAGTTCCAGTATGAACTACGTGAGCATTGAGCACCCCATAAATTACAGGAGGCTGCTCAGCAATAGAGAATAATATAGTACCAATGCTACATTATTTTTAAAAAGTGTGTAGTCATGCATTCATTCCAAAGGAAGATAAAGGGAGCTATGCCAACCACAAAAATATCCCAAAACTGAAAGGAGTGGCATGCCAGATTTTAAAATTCTCAGTGAAGAAACATGTGTAAACTGTACAAGACTTCAGGTACATAACAGACCTTGATCCTGAGAGCATCTTTAAAAAAGGAGCAAGAATATAGGTTCTGATTCTAAGGAAGCTTTAAAAATATATTGTGTTTGAAGATAAATGTGTGTTTATTCTACAAGGTTGCATTTGATTCTTATGAAGCTGTTTGTGCTTAATAAGGACTCTGATGCAGGCTTGAGCTGCTGTTTTACAGTGACAAATTTGGTATTCTGCCTTCATGATATAAAACATAAGAAAAGTTAAATTCTTTCTTAAGCACTGCAATTTCTCTGATAAAAAAGGCAGAAAAATTCTACATACAGTTCAAGGATCCATTGTGCTTCTATGTCAGTGTTAAGACCTTGATGGCTTAGCTGGAAACAGAATTTCACCTGAAAATCCTGATGAAGTCATTAGGATGAGTCTTCCTTACATTTAGGGACACACTTGAAGCTTTTCCATTCAGGAGAGAGAACAAAGTGAGAAAAGCACCCTTAACAGGAACGGCAGGGTGGCTCTATGTCAACAGGTAGTTTTCTTTTTACCTTTAATGTTTCTCTTGCCAGCTACAAGCAGTTTCTGTATCTTTACTTCACTTTGAAGAAGAAGCTAGAAATCAAGCTGACTCACTGAGATTAGAATTTCTTTAATGCTATACCATGTTTGGACTGGCCCCATAATGAAAATGTATCCCAAGGCCAGAGAATATTTAGCTCTGTCACGTATCTTTAAAAGTTTTTGGAAAATATAAGTCCTTTCAGGAATCTTTCTAGCACAAGATAGAAGTTATTTTCTGGGATGTCAAAAAATAACTCACATCGTGTTTCCTCAGGAAAAGATTTGTAAAAGATTTCATTTTGAAAAGCTGTTGCCATTACTGAAAATTTGAATATATCCAAACTCTATATTAAAATTTGAACTCTCTTCATATCTGACTTAGTTTAGATTTCGTAAGGGAAGTGTTAGGCTAAGATAACAACCAAAGTGAATACCATAATGGGGATAAGTACTTTTTAAATATGTGCTATATCCCTGAAAGCATTTCACATGTAACATTGTGGCCTTCCTGTTCACTCTTCTTTGACAGAGAGAGGAGACGAATTAACTGATGTGCATCTGAAAAGGGCAGCTTGGTTACAGCATCCTCCACATCAGTATGTCTGAAAACACAGCAAGACTGATTCTCAGATACACTCAGCATTTGAAAGCCTAACCGAAACACACAGAAAGTACAGGCACCTAGAATTCTTTTAAATGTTGGTTGTTCAATCCTATATTAGAATATAAAATATAGGAGAAAGAAGAGGTGGTTCAATTAATTGGCATTAACTAAGCATGATAGTATTACTAGTGCCACAAAGAGGAACTTCACAATGTGATATTCACCAAATTAAGATATTGGAAAGCCTTTTGCACCTTCAACAGTTTATAAGCCACAGGGTTTTAAACATTACTCATCAACAGTATTCAAGAAGCTCTCAGAGTTCTTCATGAAAATGAGCATGGCTGGGTGTTCTGAATCATATCCATACCAAACAAAGAGAAGGCATTCGAGCCCCGGTGTGCAGCTGCAGGGCCACAGTTCCTCCTTGTGATCACAGAGATGTGGAGGATAGCTCACACAGCTGAATGCCACAGTGGGCTGATGTGGGCAGGATTTAGAAAGGACAGGTCGGGACAGTAGGAGCAGATTTCGCCTTTTATCTCAGACAGCAGCAGGGATGTGTGGAGCTCTACCTGGTGGTCTGTAGAGACCATGAGATGTTGGAGTCCAGGGTCTTGAGAGAAGGGAACAAGGCAAATCTAGTAGTAGGATCATGACCCTGAACTTCAGGAGTTTGCTGGCTTAGGCATTAGGGGAAAGCAGTATATGTTGTTCATCTTGATTTCAGCAATGCCTTCATTCTTTTCTCCTGGAGCATCCTCAATGTACAGGCTGATGAAAAGTGGACTGTGTAAATGAGCAGTGAGGTGGTTGAAAGCAGGCTTATCTTGTGGACTTAAACGAGTGTCATCAGCAGCACAAAGTCCAGCTGCACTCCCATTACTAGTGTATTCTTTTAGGGAATGATTCTGAGGCTGGTACCAGCCATTAATGACTTGGATGGTGGGACAGAGTGCATCCTCAGCAAGCTAACAGATGGCACTCAGTCGGGAAGAGTGGCTAACAGACCAAATACTCGTGGTCCCATGCAAGGTGGGGAGTGACATGCTGGAAAATGGGTAGGTAGTAATCTCTTGATGTTCAACTAAGTGTCATGCCAGCAGTCAAATAACCCTGCACTATAGACTGGAGGTTGACTAGCTGGAAACCTGCTTTGCAGAAAAGGGCTTAAGGGTCCTGGTGGACATCAAATTGTCCATGAACCAGCGGTGCATCCAACAGCATGGAATGCCAACAGCGTCTTGGGCTTTGTCAGGAAGAGCACTGCTCAGCAGCCCAAGGGTAGCTCATATCTCTCCACAACAAGAAAAACTTGAAGATAGTGGAGAAAATCAAGGCCATGAAGTTTAAGAGATTGTAGTTGGAATTGTGTAGGCTTGAGAAAAGTTTTGGGAGGTCTTGTCTGTGCACAAACATTTGATGAGAGGGTAGTAAAAGGATACTTTGCTCAATAGTTCCCACAGCAAGAGGCAGCAGGTGCAAACTGAAACAGGAAATTCCATTTAGAGAGAAGGAAAAGCTTTTCAGCTGTGGGAGTGGCCAAACACTGCCACAGTTTGCTGAGAGAGGTAGAATCCACATCCTTGAAGAGAGTCAAAACTCATCTGTACACAAGCCTGAGCAACCTGCTTGGGGTGATCCTCCATGGAGTACGCATAGTTGGGCTAGATGTACTCTAGGGCCTTCCACCCTTGGTCATTCTGTGAGTGAGGAATTGTGTAGGTTAAACTGAGTTCTGGTTAACTGCTTGTGCTATTATTTAAAAATTAAGAGCTGTAGATAGCAGGCAGGTTGCTTAGATAGAATCCAGCTCGTCCTGTT